TATTCTTCATTGTTAATTGATAAATAAAATAAGCAAGGAGGTTAAGTTGGCGACATTTAAATTTAGAAATTTTTGGGACTCGAGGAAAAGAAAACTTATTTGCTTCGTCAAATGAACAACCGATCTGATTTTTGTAGTATTTATGACAAAACATCCCAACGGCCATATCCTACTTCTACCACTACTAGCATAAGGAGAACTTCACAAAAAGTGTGCAAAGTGAATCTACATTTAAGTCCAGAAGCAAAAGAAGGGGTCATCTCAACAGCAAACTTCTTGAGGCGCAGTGTAAGTCATGCCTTTGATAATTTCGAGTGGGGTTTACTTCCTGGTGAATGGAAATGACGAAGCCTTCTGGCTCAGCAAAGAGGCCACATTTTGGTAGCCAGAAGATTAGTACTAGCAGGATTCCCTTTTAGCTCAACTGGAAACCTGCCGTGCACACGCTTCTCGGTCCATTCACTCTGCCATCTGTCTTCTGTGGCATGGCCTGGTCTCTCAAAGTCTGTTTGAGCTTAAAAGGCAACATCTTGTCCTTGAGATCACCCTGATTAAAGAGGAATAAGGGCTTTTTGGCGATTTCATATTTCCTGAATCTCTTAGCATTCTGCTTAAAAGATTTAGGGCTACAGAAAACGATAAGGAATTAAGACCATCTCCCGGAAAGTTTTGTCGCTTGATCCTCAGTTCCATGCTGGTATATTTGCATCTCGCAAATGAGAGTTTGATCTTGATACACCTTGTTCTGCAAAATGCTTTATTAGGTTGATATTGCTGTGTGCTTATTTTGTAGAGACAAGGGACATATAAGAGCCATGAATAAGGTATAGAGTCAAAGGTGTTAGTTCATCCATCCTACAAAGATGTTGCAGTGACTTTTCTTGGGGTGATTGACTACAACCCTGAGTATTAACAGTTGTTGGCAACCTTAAGCATCCTTTCTGCAACAGTTTTTCTCTGGTGACAGAATACCGTCTCTAGATGGTTATCCAGCATATTGGCTAGCATTTATCTTAAACTCTTATTGTGATTGGACAATCTACGTACAATAATCTCTAGACTGTTCAAGATATAGAGATGGAATATTCACCAAACGATATAGGGGCTCATTATTTATACCTGTTAACTTTTTTGCAATAGTTTTATTTTAAAGATATTGGTCCAACTTCATTTTTTAATGAACACTACTGTTTTTTACATGAATAGATTGACCTTCAGAAGACAAAATTCATTAGTGTTGGTATTTGATGACCGTGAAACAATGCAAATGGAATAAGCACATTTACCGTGAACATTGAGGGTCAACTGAAACTGAGAGTTAATGACGAACTAAATGGACGTCAGTGTTTTGCGGGGAGATCCAGTGATTAGTGAATTCGCGGAAGCCCCAACATTCCTAAAATCACTAACGGCTTCGACAGTTTTGCAATGAGTTATATTGGTTTTCCTAATGACTGTCTCGGTTAATCGGGACATTTGCATTGTTTTATGTACCTAATTTGTATGTTGACTGTGTACATAATTCTTTTCCAAATATTTGTACTCAATCCTTTTGAAATAAACTATGGATTGTCAGTTGTCATACCCTAGGTAATCTCGGATCCCAACAACCACGGATTTTCACAAGTCTATATACAAAATAAGATTTGTTAAGATGTAAAAAGTTCCTATTTTGTGCAAAATAAGCAAATACATATTGTTGACAAATGTTGAACAAAAATAGTTACTTCTGTGCACTGAACTGATAAAAACATTTTTATCAGGGAGATAACTAGGACCTGTAAACAAAAACAAGCCTATAAATCTAAAATGGTGAATTTTACAATAAAATCTTATAGTAACGTTTTTGTAGGACATTTTATCTACTTAAATTTTGAATAAAATATAATTTTCTTTGGGATTGATAGTTATGGAGATACATGTCAAAAATGTCGAAAAAGCACCTTCAAACTACTGCCCCACTCGCTCCCGGCCCATCCCTACACTTCAAGATTTTTAGTATGTTATGCAACACAATCATGCGAAGTTTCAAAACTCCAGGAATTTTTTCACCCGATTTGTCAAATTCGATTGGGCTAATACACGAGGTCAGCTTAGAAAAGCATCCGACTTTGACAAACCTGTTGGATTTGCATCAAACCTTTGAACCTTCGTATGCATGCGTGGTATGGCACGCATCGTATGCATTAGCTTCGGTTTTTCATAGCAGGGAAAATGGCGAACCGACTGGAGCAGCGCTACTGCATCAAATTTTGCCAGAAACTGGGCGACAGCCAAGTGGAAACGATTCGGAAGATTCAGGCTGCTTTCGATGACGATGCTATGGGCATCACACAGACTAAGGAATGGTACAACTGGTTGAAAGACGGCCGCACATCGGTAAGGACGAGTCACGCCCCGGTCAGCCATCAACATGCCGAAATGACCAGGTCATTGCCAAAGGGAACTCTATGGTAATGCGGGGCCGTCGTGTGACTATTCGAGAAATTCCGGAAGAGGT